GGTTCAAACTGAAGGAGGAGAAGTCTAAGCGGGGAAATTTAGGCTAGATATTATGAAATGGTTTTTTCCTATGAGGGTGGTGAGACACTGTCCCAGGTTGCCCAGGCAGTGTTCAAGGCCAGGCTGGATGAGCCTTGAGCATCCTGCTCTGGTGAGGAGGTGTCCCTGCCCATGGCAGGGATGGTTGGGACTAGATGATCGTAAGGTCCATTCCAACCCCTAAATTCTCTGATTCTATTATTAACTCTGACACATCCACAACTTCTCATGACACTCAGGTAACTCTGACACTTCTTTTAAACATATGCTACAACAACTTTCAAGGCTAAACCAAACTAACTAATTTTTTTCAGGCACTTTCTGCTATTTACATAAACCCACACATTTTAGAGACAATCGCAATGACAAGTTAACTCTTGGATTCTACACTTTATTGAATCAGACAGGTACCAGCTAACAAAGGTGTTCACAGCAGTGGCAGCTTTGTGTTCCCTCAGTTGCATAAAAGCAAACCCCAAAGTACTTCCAATGCAGTTAAACAACAAAATAAATGTTTAGCTCTTCTTTAAAAGGTTGTGCAATTAAAAAGCAGTTTACATTTCATACAGGGTTGGCATTGTTTGTGTAGCTTCTAAGATATATGTTGTCCTAATAAATTATTTGTCTGATAAATATTTAATTAGATTAATGATTGCCTTTAAGCAAATCGGTGTGAACAGAAAAAAATCTGAGCAACAGTGTTTTAAGTATTTGCACTTAACTTCCTCCTTCCACACACACATCTATAAAATACTAAATAACTTTCAAGACAGTGATAAGTAAACAATAAGAAGGTTCATCATCTTGCACTTCACTAATTTTTATTGCACCAATGGAGCTTTCACTTGGAGTAAAACTACTGCTCCTGACTGGTAACAATTTCCAATGGTGAGGAAGTTATCAGTCTCTTTGGAAAGGTCAAGGACCAAACAGCATTTGTCTGCCTACCCTGGAGAAATCCTCTCTCAATCAAGTTTTATCCACATCTCTTCAGTCAGTGAAGTCATCCTGTATCTCACCACAATGCTGGTCCATCCTTCAGCTCTTACTGAAGCAGTTTCCAGTAACAACAATGGAATACTTCTCTGTGGCACACACACAACATCATCAAAGTTAAACCTGGTGCTCAACTCCCTGAGGAAGTGTCAGCCTGAGCTGCCATGGTTAGCACAGCCAACACAACGGACACAGAGGATGGCAGGTGAGGAGTGGGCAGAGCTGTCAGCAAGCACAGTGTGGCATCCTGGGTAGGACTCCTGTTTCCCAGGGGGTTTACCCTACAGGCTTCCTCCGTGCCAGCCCTAACCCACCTGCTCTGTGCTTTGCACAGCAGAGAGAACTCATGGGGCTGCACAGAAAGTTCCTCGTCTTCAACACAAACAAAATCAAAGCGCTATCAAATATTGATTCTTGGAAACAACTGGGAAAAAAAAGTCATTCTACAAAAATAACCTGAAATAATTACCTCATTTTTACCTCTCCTTTACCTCAGACATCACGTCCCTGTTATACAGACTTGCTCCAGAGTGAGGCACCTGAATTCAGCCCAGCACCACTGCTCAATCACTTTGCAGTCATCAAACTCTATGAAATACTTCATACAGAATCTGTTGCTGCACAGTCATTTGAAAAACATCTCTATTGTATGCTTGGAATTGCTCACCTTGGCCTTCTTTGATATTGACTGAGAAGTTGTTTGTCCAGACCTGAAGTGGAAGAAAAACACCCAAACAGTTAGAGGTTAAAAAATACAATTCACACCTACACAACTTCTACAACACGTTTTTCTAAAGTTTATTTACTCATTATTGTTATTTGATCATGAGTTGTGTACTCAAGTTCTCCTTACCTTTTTGTTCCCTGTGAGGGATTTGTGCATTGCTGCCCTTTGCTTAGACCTCCTGAAAAGTAATTGGAAACAACCAGAAATTAATTACTTCAAGAGAGCAAAAATTCTTCAGAAATGACACACATGGCAGAAATTTCTATTTCAAATGTAAACAAATTTGAGCTGAACAAGAAACAGGTAACATTTTATTACCTGCAGCTCAAGTACTGTAGCTTCTATTAATGTTTTTAAAAAGTAAAAACAAAAAGCCTTGAGTTTACTGAATTCTGAAGAAACTATTTGAACCTTGTAACAGTTTTCAGAAATATTTCAGCACAATGCAGTTATTTTCAAGGCAGTAGTTACAAATATCTTCAAATTTTTTATGCTGCAGAGGGAAAAAAGAATCTTCACTTACATTAAGTCTTTAAACCAAAGCCTGTTTGCAAGAGCACAGCAATACTGCTGTAAAATTTTCTGTGTAAGAGATTCACATTGTAAAACTTAATTATGTTCTTAGAATTCTAACACCTGAACATTTTAATTTCCTCTTACAAAGCTCCACCAAGATAGATGACAAGGACTTCAGAGAGGTACTTAACTACCTGCACATCTCCTCTAGTCTGGCTGAAGATGAACTCTTCATCAGAAACTACCTGAGTGAACATCTGCCATATGACAAATGCAGTTATGTGATAGATTTTACTGGATATAGAACAGTCTTGGAAGTTTCTGCCTTTAAACTCTAGTTCACCATCTCTCTGGAACTGTCAGCACACCACACAGCAGAACCTTTCTGCCCACTGAACCTCCGAAACAATCCAGGCTGAAGATGTTTTCATTGATCTTCACTTCAACCTCAGGGGCCTTATAAACACTTTTCTCAGTATGGTTGGGGTAACAAACATATCACTTACAGACATGAGCAGTAATTCCTCTGTCCCTGTTGTGGCAAATGAGAGGGAACTGCCTAACCACCATCACATCCATAGCTTCCTAACATGTTAAGGGGTTGGAATGGACCTTAGAAACCATCCAGCCCCAACCTCTGCCCTGGGCAGGGACACCTCCCACCAGAGCAGGTTGCTCAAGGCTCATCCAGTCTGGCTGTGAACACTGCCAGGGTTGGGGCAGCCACAGCCTCCCTGGGCAACCTGGGACAGTGTCTCACCACCCTCACAGGTGAAACATCTGCCTGAGATCTAACCTAAATTTCCCATTTCAATCTGTACCCATTACTCCTTGTCCTGTCCCTGCAGCTCCTAACACAGAGTCCCTCTGCAGCTTCCCTGGAGCCCCTTCCGATCCTGCAGATTGCTGTGAGATCTCCACACAACCTTCTCTTCCCCGGGCTGAACAGCCCCAACTCTCTCAGTCTGTCCTTGCAGGGAAGGTGCTCCAGTCTCTGATCAGCTCTGTGGCCTCCTCTGGCCTTGCCCCAACAGTTCCATGTCTTTCTGATGTTGGGGACACCAGAACTGTGTGCAGTTCTCAGTCTGGTTTGTCATAAAAACTGATTTGACATTTTTAACATAAAAATGTTCACTCTCACACAGACCTTACTCAAGTGAACTTGTTGCAAAAATCTTGGAGTCTCAGGAAGCTCAAAGTTTACCATTGCCAAACTATTTCAATTGTACAAGCAAATAGTTTGAGCAATCAGTTACATCCTGATGCAGATACTCACCAATGCTGTTTGAGTTTTCCATATCATAAGACTTGCTAGGAAGGTCTGTCTGTTCTGTCAGCTCCTGGATAAGGCCTTTGTTCAAGCAGACATCCACATGTCTGTTAAACCACACAAGACTGGTGGTTTTCTGCTCCAAGTTACAAACTGGACAAACAAGGACACAGGATGAACTAGTTCCTTCTGTATGTTCAGTCTGTTCAACATGGTCTTCGTTGCCTTGTGACAATCTCGTGGGGAAGACAGACTGCTTCATGCACACTTCTCTAGCAATGTCACTGAGGTTGCTTGGCTGTTGCTCCCTGAGAGATCTGTCAGGTGTTACCTGAGCACATTTGTCTGTGCTGTTGTCAGCAGAGCTGACAGATGTACCTGCAGACTGCTCTGCTCCTGCTAATTGAACTGTTTCATTGACTTGACATTTATCAGTGTTTTCTCTTCTACATTCTGGAAGACAGTTGGGTGTATTTTCTCTTGGACTGTCAGTCTTGGATACTTCCACGGTATCCTGAACAAGTGTCCCACTGAGGCACTCATCAATATGTCTGTTCAGCTCCTCCAAATCATTGCTGTTTTGCAACTTGAAGCAAACAGGGCAGGTGAAGATCTTACAAACATCAGAACTCTGTATATCTGTGGCTTTTTTTCCTTCTTCTGCAGAATGTGCTGGTGTTTGCCTGTCATGGAAGAGCTGCTTACCTACAGCTTCGTGTGGAGGAAGATTCTCACTGTTCTGCTGCCTTGCTGCTCGTT